AGTGAGTGACTGGAGGCACAGGAAATCCTGCTGTTAGTGCATTTACAGACAGGAGAGAGAGAGAGAGAGAAATACAAGGGAGCGGATGAACTCAGTATCATCTCGATCTCTACTCCTCCTTCCTTCCTGAACAAGCACACTCAACAACACACCCTGCCCCAAATAAAATGTAATCTATGGAAGAGACACTAATACCAGAAGAAAGTGGGTCTAGAGTGTATAGAAGTTGTGTGTAATGGTTTTGAGGCAGAGAATTGTGTTATTTATCCTTGAGTCCTCAATAGAGCCTTGAACGTAGACAAGGTCTCTGCATTCTCTGAATAACTGCATGCTAGCTCTGTGATGTAGCGCTTCAAATTTCTCAAACAATGCAAAAGCAACCCAGAATTGCATAATTAACTCCTTCAATACAAGTCCATAAGTTTTCACCCATTTCATCATATGTAAATCTGACCGCTTAGACAACTAACAGCACACCTCTTCTCTATAAACAACACAATTTGGTATGGTCAAATAAAATAAATGCACAGTTTCTGATGGTGAGTGTTTTGAAAGATGTTTCGAGTTGTTTTTTACCTTGATATTGCAGGCCTGCTCCATAAGGCGCCGGGCGTTCTCTGCCGCCCTGTAGCGTTTCGGGAGCTGGACCCGGAAAAATTTCAGCGCACCCTCAAAGTCGGCCTGCAGCAGATCTTCCTTTGAGGTCTGCGTTTAGACAGAAAAACAGAACTGGTTTAGGGTCATTTCAGGAAATCAACCTGATAAGCAGCCTGAAAAGGAACTTAGTCTGCTGATTATTTTCTGTATAGTGCTTGCATTGCCCTTTTACTGTGAACTGGACAAACACACAACATTGAGGAAATTCAAAAGACGAGTGTTTGTGTCATATTTGCTACCTCTGATATTTCAGCCTATTTGCAGCTATTAAACATGTCCAACGATCCGATGACAAAAAGAGTAAGGAGACTTGCACAGATACAACATCATGACTAGGGAAGTACCAGTATTAAAAGCATGGCCAATAGTGATAAGCCAATATCATTTTTATTTTATGGCCGACAAGTGATACGTGGCCAAACCATAAATCTACACTTTGCTAACAAAAAAATAAAACGTTTGCATGCTGCAAGTGAATGTATCGCATTAAAGCATTATGAAAAAATAAATATTAAAGAATACAAATAAAAAATAAAAAACGTAAAAAAAAAAAATCATAAAATTTACATTATTTTTTGTATTACTATTTTTTTTATTTTATTTTATTTTATTTTTCGATTTTATTTTTCAATCATTGTTATTAATGGTGGATGATATTAATAATTATTCATCGTGTTATTTCTACTGATATTATCATTCATTGAGTTGTATACATCTAAATATATTTTGTTTTCTTTCGCTTTTTTGTAAAATTTAAAATCCTAATAAAAAGACTTTTTTTAAAAACAAAACATAAAATTTACATAAAAAATAACATAATGTTGCAAGTGACTTCAAGCAATTAAATTAATTAAAATAAAATAAAAATGTTGCATAACTGCATCAGCATTATTAATACAATAATAAATAATTAAATAAAAACATATAAGAGTATAATAGTATGCTGCAAGTGAACGTCACACATCAAAGCATTAAATACTAAAATGCATAAATTTAATAATTCATTAAAACGCTGTTTGTATACAGCAAGTAAACTTAAGGCAATGCATTATTAATAAAATATGTTGCTGATATAATTACATCAAAAAAGACATTGTGAAACAACTGCCTTCAACAGGATGACAAATAAAAGCCCTTTTTTACATAAATGCATACAAAAGGTCATAACATAATACATTACATAATATATGTGGGTGCACTGTGTATAATTAATTTATTTACAATTTACACACACATGCTTGTATATATTAATATTTTCATGTATATACTGTATATAGATTTATATATAATTTATATTATATATAAATAATTTTTTTTTCTTAAATATACATGCATGTGTGTATTTATATATATACAAAATAATTATACACAGTGCACCCACATATATTATGTAAACACAAACTTTTATTTTGGATGCGATTAAACGCGATTAATCGTTTCACAGCCCTAACAAGCAACCTGATAAGAATCACATATCATACGAAAGATGTAAACAAAGATGAAGATGACTTCTATTTGCAGCCGCTGCCCCTCACCGCCAGCAGTCGGGGCACAAACAGGCGGTGACCCATGCCTAGCAGCCCCATGACTCTATCGGAAGAGTCATGGACCGCCCCAGCCTTGTCCTCTCCAGCGGCCCCTTCCTCAAGCCTCCTCATGGCGGGTGGGATCTGAGCCCATAGAGGCGGTGAAGACAAATCTCTCTCTGGGGTCAGAGGTGAAAGAGCCTCTTGGGCTCCTCCAAAATCCCCAGCATCGTCCTCGCACAGAGGCTCTGGGGCTGACTTGGAGTCAGCCACGTTGATGTCCCAAGACGGAGCCCAATCTTGGAAAAGTTGTCCAGGCGGTTGATTTTGGTAGCGCTAAAGCAGTCTCAACAAGTGTGTCGGTGTCATTCGATCATGATTCGGCGAGCGTGAGCGTGAGGCGTCAAAAACCGGAGAGGGGATTCACGTATATATTGATCCATTTTGGGTCTGCAAAGATAACGCTATTGGAGACCACGCCTAGTTTAAAAGATGCCAGAACCAAGCCAAACCAAAAGTGGCTTTACATGCTTCGAAAGATCCTGGTTTATCATTGGCTCCTTCCGAATTCCCAAATTTGCAATCTGTTGCCTGGCAACAGGCAGGAGGAGAGTCGCGTGGTGCCGTCGAGACAGCACGTCTTCCGTGTTTTGCTAGCCTTCAAAGGATTTCAGTCCTGCAAGGCGGAGACCAGACCAAGTGAAGTGCAGAGTCGTTGTCAGGTAGATTCTGCTCTCTGCCAAGGTGCGTCGAGAGAGTGAGAAAAGTGGAGTCAAACCTCATTCTCGTCCAATCGAGCCTGCGGATAAGAGTACGTGGACAACACGTCTTCTGCCATCCTGTCGTGATCGAGAAGTGACCGAGTGGTCCATCCAGAATCCCCAACTGTGGGATGAAGGTGGCGAGATGTGAGACTGGGTGGTTGTCTTCAGGCCTCTCTGTTTCGCTTTCCAGAGCGTCGGTAGGGAAAGTCAACAAGCGCATGAGAGGAAAACGGGGAGGGAGAGACACGCACAGAGATGCTGTCGATGCTAGAAAAGGCGGCGGGGTGGCGGAAAGGGAGGAGGAGAGGAAGATAGGAGGGGCGTTGCGAGGGAATGGGAGACCGCGGACGAATGGACAGTTGACATGGTCGAGGATCCAATGCAACTCATGCTAAATGCTAATTGCTGTTGTGTGCTTGCTAAGGGAAGAGGCGGTCAGGCAGGGGGACATGTGGAGAAACAGAGTGCGAGGTGAGGGGGGGGACTGAGAGAGAGAGAGAGAAAGGAGGAGGAGAGGGTTTAGGAGCCTTTGGGGAGAATGTCGTAATGGTCAGCCAATAGGAGCGAGGCAGTGCAACCCCCTCTCACGCTCGCTCTCTATTAATGCACATCTCTTGCTTCCTTGCACGCACATTCACATCATTCAATGCTCTGCTTCTGTCCACTGCCTTCACTGTGTCTTATGTTTCCGGAAAATAGCATACTAACAATATTTTTTCACAAGCCCCCTACTTAAGTACCTATATTACAGGAAACACTATAACTGAATCAGTGAGGAAATGACAATAAAAATATATTGACATAATCTGCCAAAAAATGTGCTTCAAGGAAAAATAATAATAATAAATAAATTAATAATAAATATTTGCCCAAAAAATACAACAAAAACACTATATTATAGTAATAAAAATTATACTTAATCTCTACAGAGAGGAATGTGAACTAGAAAACATTCCAATGCATTGACAAAGTGAATGAATAATTAAATCAAGTAAATACATTTTTTATTATATTTTTGATTGTACACACACAAATATATATATATATATATATATATACACAGTATATATACACACATATATACACATATATATATACACACACACACACATATATATATATATACATACATACATACAGTATATATATATATATATATATATATATATATGAGAGGCTGAGCAACAATTAATAGCATAAAATTAAAGTTTGTGTTTACAGGATATATGTGTGCATAGTGTGTATAATTATTTTGTATATATAAATAAACACACATGCAAGAATTATTTGCATGTATATACTTAATTATAATTAATATCATGTATAAATATTTGATATATTAAGAATACCTTTTTTCTTAAATATATATGTCTGTGTATTTATATATACAAAATAATTTTGCACACTACATACACACATATTATGTAACCACACACTTTTATTTTGGATGCGATTAATCACGATTAATCGTTGCCCAGCCCACATATACACACACAGTATTATATTCACAAAGAAAAAAGAGAATATCATATATATAGAACCAAAAATACAACATTTAAATGCACTGACAAAAATGAATCCATAAAATAAATAAAAAAATTAAATAACAAATAAATAAAATTATTTAAACTAAAATTAAACTAAATAATAAAAATATACACCTAATGTTAATTATTTTTTTTAGAATACACATTGTTTTAAAGCAGCTTTCCAGAAAATCATGACGTGTTATAGTATCTTAATATCGCCACGCCTTGAAGTCGCATTTAGATTAGAACTGGGTGATAACGGTTTGTATTTTGCGATAATATAAACAAAGACGTGAGAGAACATTTGTCATGACTACCGTAATTACACTAAAGACATGGTTTGTCTTCAACATGACAAATGACATCATCAGGCTTGTAAGATTGGATGATTTTTTACAAATATTCTCATAATTCCTCTTTAATGAACACCTGGATTTTTAAAGAGCCTTAAAAAGAAACCAGAGAATCCTATTCTGGTTCTCACATCTGCTGTAATTACAGAACAGGGCAGTGGAGTCTATTTCTCAACATTAAATCAGCGGATATATCCTCTTCTCCTCTATAGGTTAGTTCAGACACATTCAGGGCAGCGCAACCCACTCTTGCAATAGCTCCATTTATCATTCTGTCATTGCAGCTTACACAAAGGTGTGGCTTTGTGGATGAAGCTAATGTATTTGTGCTGAGAACACCATTAAAAAGCTTTGCAGCAGCATTGGCCAACTGATAATGACTCAAATTGAATATACACTTTATTCTCAACCACTATAAGAGACTATGAAAATATCTGGAGTTTATAAGTGGAAATTGTTCCAAAAAGCATAACGCACTCTGTTTTTTACCATTCAAGCGTGATCAATTTTGAATCTCTAAAAAGCACCATAGTATATAGTACTAATGCACCACAAATAGTGCTCTATCTATAGAGCCATAGTGGCATTACTGGGCTAATGACCCACAGCTGCAATACTGTGTCATCCATAGTGTCGCTGATGATCAATAAAGCCACAACAACAAAACCAAATGCATGCATAGATCACTCCGACAGCAGCCATGCGGTTCAGATCAAATTTGTAATGTAGTGAAAACGAGCCAATGTATCGGATGTGGAAAAAGTGCCATTTGCAGAGTTAGAAAAGACTGCATGAAAAGTGATAAACTGAGGTTATCTCCTGTTCACACAGCCTTTTTAACCTGTTTTCATGTGTCGTTTTTGTATTATATTAAAATTATATTGTGTATAATTAAGTGCATAAAGTCTTAAGTTATATATTCATGTTATTCTCACAATGGCAGTAAACTATTTTAAAATTCATTGTTTCTCCTTACTACTACTTTTTTATCGTTTAAATTTGTAAAAACGCCTACTGCTTATATATACGTTAAGAATATCTTCAGGGTTTGTGGAATTGCACACAAATTCCCATAATTACATGAAATGCAGGTATATTTTCTTTCTCTTTGTATTTTTACTGTATATCAATATGATGTAAGATTATCCAATTCAAAACAATGTGATAAACAAGTTAGGTCAAAAGTAATCTAAAAGTAATCAAAAAGTAGTCTGATTATATTACCTGAAATGTGTAATGTAATGGATTACGTTACTACCTACAATTTTTGTCATGTCATTTATAATCAGTAACCGACTGCAATTTGTATGTAATCTATCCAGCACTGTATGTGCATATACACAACTTAATAAATGGACCAAGAAAAAAAAAATATATATATATATTAGGGCTGTCAAACGATTAATCGTGATTAATCGTATCCAAAATAAAAGTTTGTGTTTGCATTATATATGTGGGTGCACTGTGCATAATTATTTTATATATATAAATGCGTCTCATGTGTGTGTATTTATATATATACAAAATAATTATACACAGTGCACCCACATATATTATGCAAACACAAACTTTTATTTTGGATGCGATTAATCACGATTAATCGTTTGACAGTCCTAATATATATATATATATATATATATATATATATATATATATATATATATATATATCGACTGTATCGATTACATATGATTATGGCATTATATTATAATGATATGTGAATTGTTTCAGTAATATTGCTCATAGCAAAACCTAAGATACCAGAAAGACACTACTTGATCATTTTAGTCTCGCATGTGTACCTTAAACTAACAGATAGGTCTGTGAACAGCAAACATTTGTGTTTAAAAAAAAAATCACGGCAATATTTCTTCGGACCAGCAGAGGGAGACAAACTCAATGTTTTTATTCCTGCTGTACATCAGACTAAAAGCATCAATTCTTCAACCAGGTTTCCCACACTTTTTAAACAGTGAAATTCTATGACTCATTACTAGGATGAAAAAATATTGCACAGTGTTCTTATTGTTAAATGCAAATTAGAAATATCACCTTGGCAACAATCGGAAATTAGTTAACGTCGAAGTACTAAAATGACAAACAAATACTGGAATAAAAATAAAATAAAACTATATATAAACTGATAAAATTTCTAAAAGCACGATTTAAGCTAATCGTTTAAATCTTAAACTAGCCTCACTTTTGTATGGATTTGATCAATTTTAGGGCTGTCAAACGATTAATAGCGATTAATCGCGCCCAAATAAAAGTTTGTGTTTACATAATATATGTAGGTGCACCGTGTATAATTATTTAATATATATAAATACACACACATGCTTTTATATATTTAAGAAATATTTTCATGTATATAGATTTATATAATTTATATTATATATAAATATTTTATATATAAATATTTTTTTCTTAAATATACATGCATGTGTGTATATATATATATATATATATATATATATATATATGCAAAATAATTATACACAGTGCACCCACATATATTATGTAAACACAAACTTTTATTTTGGAAGCGATTAATCGCGATTTCTCGTTTGACGGCCCTAATAAATTTACAAAAGTTTTTCATAATTAGAATAAGTTTTAAAAAAATATAACTTAAAAAATTAAAAATAATTTTAAAGAAGACTGCACTCACAGAAAGCAATTTCTAACCAATTAAATATTTTAAACCCAAGCTAGACATTTCCATTACTTTTTGCGATTTCATTACTTTCCCTCACTTTTCCAAACAATTTAAAACAAGGAAATGTAAGCGTAGTGATGTGCAGTACCTTCAGAAGAGCCAGCGCCACATTGAAGATGATGTTCAACCCCTGTAAAGACATTGAAAAAAAATTACACACACAAAAACAAACACACAGAATTTATTTGCACATCAAACTGCCTGGAACTACACAACTGGCCACATATAAAGGCGTTTTATTATAATAAAGATGCTACAATGGTTCGGAAGGGCTGCAATGCCATCTTTGCGTTCTACAGTGGGAAGTGCGAAGCCGAACGCATTTGCATTTCCTAAAATAGCTCGAATCATACAAAGAGCTCAAATGTGTGGGAGTGACAGGAGCTGAAGGAAGAGGCAAACAATCTCGCTCGCACACGCTCAGGTGGACTGACAGGCAGGTTGATGTGCACAGGCACAGTGAAGGACGGGCGGGAGGTGTTGTGTGTGTGTGTGTGTGTGTGTCAGAGGGGAGCAGGTGGCATCGCAGTAGCGAGCGGAGAAGCAATGCTGAAGTCAGCTCCGCATGGAAACACCCGTCTCGAGCATCGCTTAGAGGACCCGTTCACATGGCAACACCGAGCTAAAAATATCCCATGTTCTCTATTAATAACAGACGGCAGAGAGTATCTGTTCCCGACGGGCTCTAGATGGCGCTAGGGGGCTAAATGGAAATTGCAGGGGGGATAATTATGTGTGTTTGTTGAGGGAGGGACAATACTTTTCTCTTTGGCTTTGGAGCTGTACACTTTGGTTATGTAGGAAATGTGATTTTACAAGCCAAGTTGATATAGTATGATTGCTTATAATCGATACTAGCAAAACTATCTGCATTTACATATACGGGAAATCATCAACCTGAACTTTTAATCCTTTATAAACTTGAAGAGCCACTATAGAATGTTACAAAATTGCAATATTAATTTCAATAACTATTGATAATAGTCTTTTATTCCTTTTAGTTTGGGGTTGGTAAGACTTTTAATGCTCCCGAAAGAAGCCTCTAATTTAAAGGGCTCATGACATGAGAAGGGAAATTTGCCTTGATCTTTTGACATTTAAGAGGTCGCTTCTTAAGACCTCAATGTATCGGGCCGCGGATATTAATTTTGTTATGTCTGCATGTTTTTTTTTGAATGTCAAAGTGAATGTCAATCCATTCATTTTAATCTTGTCTTGGTGAACACATAGTGAATAAACTAAATGAGAGATTAGTTTAGATAAGTTATCTTTCACACTTTTCATGCAGCGTAACCTTACAAATTTTGGAGAGTCCAATTGTTATTTAATTCTCAATAGCACTCACTGAGTCAACCTGACTTTGTTTTCCAATGGACAGGAGATATTGAAAGGCAGCCAATCAGATTAGAGCTTACCAAAGTGAGAAAGAGCTTTCCCGGTTTTGTGTGCGATAGCATTGCATTGTATTTTGAGACAAAACAGAATTCAAATAAACTGAAATGTAAATGTGATTAGGGAAAGATTGCATAAATTTATAACAAGTTACTCAAAAGTAGAGGCAGAGCCTCAAAAGAAGGCAGAACATTAAATGAATTAGAGATGAACTGATATTTGGATAAGAAGAGAGAGAGGTGTCTCGCAAGCATCTAACAGATTCTCATCATGCGATTCATTGACTGAGACAGGCTAAGGAAACTTTTAATTGTCTTGCCTCGGGCTACCACAGACGCTGAATGAAAGGAAAATGGGAGAAAAGCGATGGGAAAAAAAAATTAAAGGAAAAGCTCTCAGAGGAGCAGAAAGGTCGAAGCGCTACTTTTGGAAAGACACAAAGCCCATTTCTAAGAAGTCAAAGATGCTTGCTTTGGGAAATCTAACGGAGTTCAAGAAGTTTAGAAACTAGTGAACTTTCCATCAGTTCCATGTGCTATTCAAAACCCAATACAACTACACTATTTATTTAGACTGAAAAGAAATAGATTTTAAAAACCTAAAAAAGGTTTTTAGGTTAAAGGCCATTGCACACCGAGTCGGAAATTTTCGTATGCGTTTTTTTGGATTTGTGATTCGGTGGTTCTGAATTGTCAAAACACCATCCAAACCGCTAGCTACGGATGCGAAAAACACAGAAAATGGAACCCGATTTGATTTTTTTTATGACGGACGAAAGTTTCGGAAGCAGTGAGCAAGCGTCATTGACATAACGTGAGGTCGTATTTATTTTTTAACGTGCGGAAATTTCCAAAAAAGGTATGCGTTTTTTTAGGGCTGTCAAATGATTAATCGCGATTAATCGCATCCAAAATAAAAGTTTGTGTTTATATAATATATGTGGGTGCACTGTGTATAATTATTTTATATATATATATATATAAATACACACACATGCTTGTATATACTAAAGAAATATTTTCATGTATATACTATATATAAATTTATATATGATTTATATTATATATATAAATATAAATATTTTATAAATAAATAATATTTTTTTCTTAAATATACATGCATGTGTGTGTATTTATATATATATATATATAAAATAATTATGCACAGTGCACCCACATATATTATATAAACACAAACTTTTATTTTGGATATGATTAATCGCGATTAATCGTTTGACAGCCCTAGTTTTTTTGTATTTGTGATTCGGTGGCTCTGAATTGTCAAAACACCATTCAAACTGCTTGCTATGGATGCGAAAAACGCAGAAAATCGAACCTGATTCGATTTTCTTTATGACGGACGAAAGTTTCGGAAGCAGTGTGCAAGCGCCATTGACATAACGCGAGGTCGTATTTATTTTTTAACGTGCGAAAATTTCGGACTCAGTGTGCAAGGGCCTTAAGAAGTAAAAAATGATTTAATCCATGAACAGTTTATCTTCAACAGGATTCATTAAAGGGCCCCTATTATGGATTCTTGAAAATGACCTTTCATGTGCGTAACATAGCTCTGGGTGAATGAAAACATCCTGCAAAGTTTTAAATCTGAAAGTGCACGTATATAAAGTTATTGGCTTTCAAAAGTAAGAGTCGACTCTGAATCAATGAAATTAATTGTTTTTCAAACTAGTCATAAGCCATTTCGCCAGGGATTGCGCGTGCAGACACCGGGGAAAACTTGAACCTCAAACCGGCAGCTGATTCCTGCCTCAACAGAAATCGAGGCAACATTTTTCCAGTCTTCAACTGTTCAATTTTTGTATAAACAAAATCGAGTCTGTGGCTCGATTTCAATTTATGTTGTGTTGCACTATTTAGTCTAACCCATAGTGACATCTTATTGGTTAAATGACTTGGTTAGGACATGGTTGCTGTAATTATGTGACTGGAAAAGGATTTATCACCTCGCACAGGAGCAGGTCGGTGATATGGAAGACCATGCAGAGAGGGAACTTGGCGGTAAACAGTGTTAAGAACCACTGGGACGCGTACATATGGGCTTCCAGGTTCAGGTCCTGGAAGTGAGACCAAAGGTCCGGCAACTGCTCCTGGAAAGAGGAATTAGAGAAATAGGAATGGTTAGCGCAAGGGAAATCAACAAGCATGTTTTACTAAGGATGATAAAGTAATTACATTTTTTTTTTGAAGCAAAGGGGGTGGAGCTTGGAAGTATGTCAAAAGAAAAAGAAAAACAGACATATATGTAAATAGACAGACAACAAAATGATAGAAATTAGCCAGATAAAACGAAAAAATAAGTTAGACAGATATATGACAGACAGACAACAGATAGACAGACACAAGAGACAAACAGAAAAAATATACATAGAATGTCAGACAGACTGACCCTTTTCTTTCCACCAGCTTTTAAAGGTGCACTGTGTAATTTTTAGCAGCATCTAGTGGTGAGGTTGCGAATTGCAACTAACAGAAGTTACGGTGGCCGACAGGAAAAGATGTCGTCGTCTGAGACAGCAGAGAGTAGCCAGTTGCGAAATGAGGTTACTTTACAAACATAAATTAAGAAATTAGCTTTACTTGATTATTCAGTAAAGTGATATGTAATTGCAAATATTATTGTTACTTATTCATAATTGTGTCAGTGTTTTATTCGCTGACTTTAGCTAGCTTCTTTCCATGAAAAAGAACATAGTGACGAATCGCGTTTGTCCGTTTAGGGCTACTGTAGAAACATTTCAATGTAAGGGGACCCGCCGTGTAAGTAGACAGAAATGGCTCATTCTTAAGGCCCGTACACACCGGGACGAATATCAGCATGTGTTATTCGTCAGCGTTTTTCCAACACGTTTTTTTTGTGTTCACACCCAAGCGATTTTCGTTGACGATGAGCCGAGTGAACATGCAAATTCATTCCCTGACATTAGATGGCGCCAATTTGCTCTGCAATACCACTCCATAACAGTTCTCTTTTATCCAGATGTTTGTAGTCCCTGTCGCGCTTGTCATATAGTTCTTTATGTTTTAGCACCAACGAGAACTACATTCATCTTGCCTAGCATCTTCCTCGTCTTATTTCTTCCTGGCTGTGTAGACGGCGACGCTGCTTGGCGTATATCTTCTTCGCCGTTGCATATGTGTGCTCGGCAAGACCGTTTTGTGTTTGAGCGCCCCCAAGTTGTGTTTTACTGTAACTTCAGAAGCTCCAAACACGTGAGCAAAAGCACCAATCTCATTGGTCAGATAGTTTTTGACGTGGCGCGTCAAACTAAAAAAACGAACCCGAGGCGTTTTTTTTTAAAAATGACGCTTTTAAGCGTCGGTGTGAACACTCACATTGGCGCCCTTTGTTTAGTCAAGAGGCGTTAAACGTTGGTGAATGATGCGCGCGAAATTCGTCCCGGTGTGAACAGGCTTTAAGGTAATAAAAAAATAACGGTTCAGTATGTAAGGTCTTTATACACCACTGCAAACATAGTTATGTAAATGATATTACATTTCTGTCTACAAATCCTCCTAAAAATGACACAATGCACCTTTAAAGCATTTCTTTCACGAGTGTAAGACTGAATTACATCACAGTATCAAGAGTGCAGTAATAAAGCACCTTACACAATCAGCATCTAAATCAAAGACTAGATAGCATGCTTTGAACAAAAAAATAAAAACCAAAACAAATATCTAAAAATAAATAAAAACTATTAAAAAAAAAAAATAAAAAAAAAATATATTTGGGGTTTTAGAGGTTCCATTCAGTCTATAGCAGGAAAAGTACATGCCAAAGTTAGGGGTTTGTTTAAATTAATAACCCTAGGTATGATAAACGGCAACAGTGATGCTTGCCTCAAAAAAGCGTGTAGCTCTATGTATTCAGAGACCAAGCAGAAAATAAATCAAAGACGTAACCGACATCTACAAAGGCACATCTTAAATTAGCATCTCAAAAAAGAGAGATAGGAGCTGGATAGGATCTTCCGGAGCGGGAAGACTGAATATTTTTCGGGGGTAAATTGCATTGTCAGATCAGAGAGGTGGGAGCGTTGTGTTAACACATGCAAAGTAAATGACAACAGAGGAAGAGATTCTTCCAGTGGCACATATGGCACGTTTCACATGATCGATGCGAACGCTCTTGCAGTAGCACAGCTAGTCGATACTAACCAGGGTGGGTTTAACGCCGAAAGAGGCTACTTCAGGCCTAATTGCATTTCAGCACAAAATTAAAACCCATTTTCCAGCGCATTGGGTCTAATAGCTTACACGAGGGCCACCGCTTCCACTCGAGGCGCTCATGAGAGCTGATTGAGTCTGCGTGTCACGCAATCTCTCAACTAACACTCAAAGGCCAAACCTGCAGCAGACGCTCCAGCTGGTAGAACTTGCAGTGAAGATCTTCAAAGTTGTTTTTGTAGAGCTCTCGGAGACCGTAGTTGTACATGATCTTCACCAGCACGCAGAAAGCTTGCTCCTCGGGCATCTGAGGAGAAAAACAAAAGTGAACGATATCAGCACCATTTTTAGATGATTTCAAATGCTAATGATTTCTGCACGAATATGCTGTGATGAACACAACCAACCCATGATGTTTATATGTGTCAGCTGCAGTGATGAAATCAGAGTTTGTTTGTGTTTGTGAGACGGAGAGTGAGACAGACAGAGAGCTGGGTATTAAATCACACAGACAGCGTGTGTGTCCCGAGCTCAATGGGCTCCTGCAGGTATACGGGCTCTGTCATTAATATTCCTGACAGCTCCTGAGCTTCCTGGGCAAGGCCACGGGAAAGACACTTACACTATATTATAGAAATCCCCAAACGCACTCTAATATCAAGCCTCACACGGGCCACTGTCGCAGAGAAACAAAAAACGGCATCTTATTCAGGCCTCACTTTAATTAAATATGGGATTAACCGTTTCATCAATGTCCTTCCCTCGCTTCCTGTTGCTCTCTGCCTATTATTAATGTAGGTCCTCAAAAAGTCAAGGATAAAGCACAATGAAGAAGGTTTTTATTTACACTATTATTAGTGTTATTATTTAGCTAGCTACTGTAGTGAATTACAGTTTAAATTGTTGATTTGCCATCAAAAGAGTTGAGCTTAAAGATAAAACTGACCTAAACGGATATTTACGTAATGCACAGTAAGAAAAAGTAATATACTTCTGTTGCGGTATAAATTCGGACAGATTTTTAAATGTGACCGTATTTTTCAGGTTAGTGTCTCAAAAAAAGAATGATTAAAAACAAATATATCATACACTAAATATTCAATAATAAACAAAATCAAAATGAAAGAATTAATGAAACAAAACAAAAACAAATAAAACACACAAAAACACACAAACTAAAAACAGAAAACAAAAAATAAAAACACAAAAACTCAAAAATAAAACAAAACAAAATCAGTTGTAAAAAAACCCCCACCAAAAACAGAAAACAAAAAATAAAAAACAAACAAAACCCCAAAAATAAAACAAAACCAGTTGTAAAAAACCCCCACCAAAAACAGAAAACAAAAAATAAAAAAACAAACAAAAACCAAAAATAAAAAAACCAAAACAGTTGTAAAAAAACCCACCAAAAACAGAAAACAAAAAATAAAAAACAAACAAAACCCCAAAAAAAAAAAAAAAAAAAAACCAGTTGCAAAAAACCCCCACTAAAAACAGAAAACAAAAAATAAAAAACAAACAAAAACCCAAAAATAAAACAAAACCAGTTGTAAAAAAACCCCCACCAAAAACAGAAAACAAAAAAAAAAATAAAAAAAAATAAAAATAAAAAACACAAACCCTCAACTAAACAGATTATTTGGGGTATATTCAGGGTAAATACTTACATGTAAAAGTAATACGGCAGCCAAAAATGATTGACCTTGGCAATAACCAATCTCCTCATCATACACAGAGTAAGCCTGTGGAAAAAAACCCATCAGTTTAGATATTGTGCACAGAAACAAAAGCCTTCTGAAACTTGTATTAAAGAATAAAAGTTTTGTTTGTCTGTTTTTTTTAAATTTATTTTATGTAATGCTATTACTTAATATTCTGAAATATTTTTGCCATTATCAATAATAATAATACAAAATAATATATATATATATATATATATATATATATATTAAGTATGTTATTTAGAGAAAAAATATTTTATATTAAAAATAATGTATACTTCAAAAAACAAAAACAAAAAAACAGTATGTTAGATGTGTAACATCTGGTTCCCAACATTAATTAGCATTAAATATTTTTTAATGAATTTGCAATTTGTTGTAAATGCTGCTTCATGCTGTTTTAACATCACAAGCAGTTATAATTGTGCTTAATCATATGTAAATGACTGGAAACAGATAAACTTTCTTGGCAACATATGCCGCTGCCAGGATTAGCTGGATTGAAGGTCTTTTGCACATTTTAGGAGCCTTTTAATCTGTCGGTGGCAATCAGCTGATGGAGAACCTCTTAAGACTCCTCACAAAAGAGATTTAACAGAGAATAGAACAACTACTGCACTCCTTTTCTCTGCCACTCAACGCTTTTCTACTCTTTTTCTATAATACATCATTTAATATACATTCATTTATCATTCCTCAATTAGAATTCTGGCAAGATATAGCATAGTTTATTATTGAATTATGATTGGCAAGCAACGTCATTTGATGCACTATACTGAATTTCTGGTCAAAGGTGTCGACGTTTTAAAACGCCACTTACATGGCTCATTCATTCAGATTTTAGAGCCAGAAGAATATGCTGGATAATTGCTTGTTAGAAAATAACTGCATTAGTTCCATCTTAATTTCTAAATATAATAAGAGATCTATGATGTGTAAACTAGCATTTTGTAGATTTGCAACAGATAGCAGGATGCATGGAGGCGAGTACAGCACATGTGGCTGGATTTCTACCAAGGCCGTTACAGCAAAACAAAAGGTCAGTGGAAAGAGATGTAGCAGCGTGTCGTGATGCTTGTTATCAGACGGCAGGAGTGAGTCATGTCTGGAGGATGCGCAGCTTTCACCTCACCTTGCAGATCTTGTATAGAGAATCTTGGCCATCGCCTCCCGAGTCTTTGAAGTAGTCGTGAGCAGGGAAGGTGCGATGGATGTCTCTGGTGATGACGCCTTCCTGGGCAGAGTCCTGTGGGTCCAATAAACACTTACAATCAGGCATTTTTGGGAGCCTTTTTATTTGATCAAAACAATATTTTGTATTATTTGATGTATTTTATAATTATTTTGATTATTATTAAAGAACTTAACAACACATAAAAATATAACTTATTTATTGTGTTCATTTATTCAATGATTATTTTATTAATATATAAATACTATTTTATTATTATATTGTATAAATATTTGTATTACAACTTTATTATTATTATTATTTATAATGATTTGCATCAATAAATGAATAAAGTGTTTAGTAATATTAGTAATTCTAATATATATTTTGACTATTGTATTATTATTATAATAATTAGTTATAGATTAAAAAATATTTAAAATTAAAACTGATGTATAATAATAATTTGTTCATGAATTATGTTATTATATTAATAAATATATAAATCAAATGTTAATAATAAAATGTTTTATTGTAATTTAATTATTAATTATTAGTTAATTATTTTGATTATTATTAAAGAACTTATAACAAATAACAATATAACTTATTTATTGTGTTCATTTATTATTATTATTATTATTATTATTATTTAATTATTATTTATAATGATTTGTATCAATAAATGAATAGTGTTTAGAAATATTAGTAATTCTATAAACATTTTTACTATTGTATTATTATTAATAATAATTAGTTGGATTAAAAAATAATTTAAAATAAAAACTGATGTATAATAATAATTTCTGTTTATATATTTATTAAAATAATAACATATAATTCATAAATCAAAAGGTAATAATAGCATTTATTTTATCAAAAAATATTTTGTATTATTTGATGTATTTTATAATTATTTTGATTATTATTAAAGAACACATAACAATATAACTTATTTACTGTGTTCATTTATTATTATTCAATTATTATTTTATTAATATATAAATACTATTTTATATCTGTATTACAACTTTATTATTATTATTATAATAATTATTATTTATGATTTGTATCAATAAATGAATAGTGTTTAGAAATATTAGTAATTCTATTATACATTTTTACTATTGTATTATTATTAATAATAATTATAGATTAAAAAAATAATTTAAAATGAAAACTGATGTATAATAATAATTTCTGCTTATGAATTATATGTTATTATTTTAATAAATATATAAATCAAATGGTAATAATATTTTTTTTATTGTAATTTAAATATTAATTATTAGTCATACTTATTTAAATACATATTTTATAATAAAAAATCATTTTGCACGGTTTTATTTATCATTTACTTATTGTTTACTATTATTTTATAAATAATAGTTTTAATAAAACACTACTGTATTATTACAATAATTCATTTATTACTAATATTTAATTAGTCATGGATATTTAACAACAATAATGCCCCACAATTAATTAAATGCAATTTTATACAGTTATTTTTAGTCAGATTCTAGACTTTGTGGATTTTCCTATGTTTTTTTTTTTTTAGAAACAGTGACAGATACAACAGCAAATAGGGAAACAAGTGTGTGATCCAAACCAGATAAGTGTGCAGATAAAATATGACACATGCAGCCTGCACTGGAAAAGCTCAATTAACAATGTGATGGTCATTTTCTCTTCAGTCTTTGATCTCCATCCATGCTCCTTAAGCTCCAATACAAACAAGCTTGAGCTTGACAGAGGACACTGAAGTAGCATGTATAATGTGTATTTTGTCAAGAAGACACAAAGAAGATTCCTCGAGTGAAGAAATAACCTTGTGTGAAGTGTTTACAGACTTGAGTTGAGATAGATTAAGAAGCGCAGGAAAGTGCCTTACTCAGCACAGCACACTCTTCAAAGCGGGACACAAATCGAATTAACAAGTCAAATGCAGACGGCGTTCCAGTCAAATGATGGAGAACATGAACAGACTTCTGAAACGCAGGACCAGGGCCAAGAGAGGCACTTAAAAGCATCTACTCTGGACCAAACCGATTTTTTTGCCATGTAGAATTATGGGAAATGTAGTTTTGCGGCACAAGGCTGTCAGAAACCGGTTAAACTCGCAGAATATTAATCAGTCTTTCCTATCAACTCTTGAGTGAACAGATCGGTGGAATTCACGCCGTGGCAACATCAGACGGTGACTGCGGAAATGTCTCTGGCAGGCTGAGTTGTAATAAGGTCCATTCCATTAACAGCGTGTGTCAGGGCTAATTAAAGGCATCATTAGTCAACTAATGCGAGAGAGGGAAGGACAGGTTTCCACCTCCCCTTACCTGTTTACACTGCGTCTGATAGTTTGTTAAAGGGTGGGCAGAATAAAGCCTGACGGATGAAGCAAATATGGGTCTTATTTGCATCTATATGAGTCTTTTATCCATCCACAGCTGAAGTTAACTTACTCTTGTACATCCTGATTAATGCTACCTTCCCTTTTCTCTTTAACATTCATGCTATGAATAATGAATCCTTCTTTTCTGCCATTTCTCCATATACATGATCCGGATAAATTCTTGATGACAGCACAGAGCGCAGCACACCCATTTGTGGAACTTACTTCATCAGTTTACGTTTATGCGGAGGAAAAACAAGGTCATAAAGGCCATTTCCAATGAAGGTTACCACAGCATATGTGCAAGTGGGAGCATTATGCTTTTTTTTCTCAATGGATAATCAAGAACAAGCACAACAGAACCAGCAGTGTGTTTATACAGCAGTATATAGACATATAAAAAAAAAAAAAAAAAAAAATTCTCTTAAAGGGAAAGTTCACCCAAAAATGAAAATTCTGTCAGTATTTACTCACCCTCATGTTGTTCCAACCCTGTAAGACCTTCGTTCATCTTCAAAACACAAATTAAGATATTTTCGATGAAATCTAATAGCTGTATCACTCCTCCATACTAGTCCATAGGCTTCTTGAGGGATTGAAACTTGCCGGCCTCGAAAAGTTAATAAAGACATCGTTAAAATAGTCCAATTGACTACAGTGGCTCAATCTTAACTTTATCAAGTGACGAGAACACTTTTTGTGTGCAAAAAAACAACATAAATAACTTTATTTCAACTATTAATTTCCTTCTCTTTGGGCCTCTAGTCAGTTAAACGTCACACGTAGGCTCACTATTGGCCGCCGCTGGTCGTGTGTGTGATGCATGTGACGTACAACAGATCGCCCAGAGAAGGAAATGAATAGTTGAAATAAAGTCGTTATTTTTGTTCTCGTCGTTTGATAAAGTTAAGATTGAGCCACTGTGGTCACATGGACTATTTTAACGATGTCTTTAATAACTTTTTGAGGCTGGCAAGTTTCAATCCCTCAAGAAGCCTATGGACTGGTATGGAGGAGTGATCCAGCTCTTAGATTTCATCAAAAATATCTTAATTCATGTTCCGAAGATGAACGAAGGTCTTACGGGGTTGGAACAACTTGAGGGTGAGTAAATACTGACAGAATTTTCATTTTTGGGTGAACTATCCCTTTAAATAGAAAGCTTTTGTAACATTATACGCTACCGTTCAAAAGGTTGGGGTCACTAAGTGGGAGGTGGGAAGAAATCAATACTTTTATTCAGCAAGGATGCATTAAATTGATCAAAAGTTGCAGTTACAAAAGATTCCATTTCAAATAAATGAAATACAACTTTCTATTCATCAAAGACCTTTGACCTTTGCTCAGCAATGACCTTTAGAGGGGAATACATAAAATCTGCATTTTTACAGCGAACGCCATTTTGGCGTGTTTTGCAACAGCAACAAAAAGACTCAAAGCTGTAATTTTGTCACAGTATGGGGTTAATCACACCATGGTGTATGATTGAGTTCAGCGGACTGTTTCACTGTTGCTCCCTTCCTCTCTCACCCCCATCACTCTCGCTTCACGCAGTGTGCATGAAAATGAAATGCTGCCTCATAAACTGCGAGTTAGTGACAAATGGTATTCATAAATAAAGCCAGAGATACAGGCTGCGAATGGTAATGTGGCCACTAAACATCTGTGAGGCTCAGCCATAGCAAAACCACCCAGACCAGAGACCCAGAGAGGGGATAAACAAAGGGATGCAACCAGATTACATCCATGGCAGAAGCTTGAGTAAACTCTCTGCCGGCTTCCCGACAGGTTTGGGTCGACGGGATGCGTGGTCACAAATAACAGAAGGCCAGTCAGATTTGTCCAGGCTCCCGAAGAAAGATAAAACCACTGACCTTCGGGGACATTGATCTGAGGGAACTTCAACATGGGTGGGAGTTTACTAGAAGGATGCGAGTATCCTCGGTTCGTCTACATGAAACTGAACAAGTAGAGCCAGGCGCTAGCTAGCAACACAAAGGAAATGGGTTTGATTTCCAGGGAACACATAAACTGGTAAATGGCCAATGTTAAATCAACATTTTTGTGAAAACTAAAAGGAAAATCATTGGTTTTAAATACAGTTAATTTAGACATCACGACTCACAACATCACAAAAGATGTCATTTAACCCTTTCCACGCCATTGACGGAATTTTACAGCAATCCGTGTTTTCACTGTTATACGGTAGGGGGCGCTAATACACATCTGAACCTCCTCAAAACACACGCGAGGAGGATGCAAAAACAAGTGATATCAAATGTGATCATATGTAAACATTAAACAGAACATAATTTAAAACTGCCAAATGTTACTGAATCAAATGTCGACCCAGGATGAGCTATAGGACAGTACAAGCATTAGGAGTGTTGATAGACTCGATCTACTCCATCTGTGTTTTCACCATCGTTCTGAATAAGATTTGGACGAAGTCTTTGACAAAAACTTGATTTTCTCAGCTTTTTGCTCAAAATCTTGCTTTCTTTATGAACCTTATCCATATTACCCAAGTGTTGATAAAAAGGTTTAAAAAAAAGGCTTTTTCTTTCTATTGATAAATTGCATGTTCATATATTCATAAAACAAAATATTTTGTGAAAATAACCAAAAAACACTGGCAGTGACTGGCAACTTAAAAAAAAAAAAAAAAAACTGGCAGGGAAAG